ATGTAGGTGTAAAAATATATAACTATTCATTTGTGTGATAATCATGTAATATTTTTTTTCCCAAATGTACTCTGCCAAGCTATGTTTTCCCTCATCCTATACTTGTGCAAGTGGCTTCTAGACCAAAGTGCAATTTATTCTTCAGTAGTGTTAGATCCATCTCATTTAGCCCTTCAAGATCATATTGAATCCTAATTCTGTCTCATATATTCACTACATGTCCCAATATCACATAGCCTCAGTTTGGATTTTTTCTCTGTCTAGTTTTATTTCAGTCATTGACAAATAATTGACTATGATGAGGCTAAAAACAAACTAGGTGACATAATCCAGAGTGAAGATGTTCCATTAGCTACCCAGTTGCTACCTCACCTAGTTTTCCTAATATTGAGACCATATTTCTAAATTTTCCACAGGGATAGTATCAGTCCATTTCAAGTAACCTAACAAAATCCAGATATAAAGACTTAATAAGAGATAGTCAAAGATCTTTATGTTTTTATTCACTTCATTAAACAAACTTTTATTATATATATATATGCTCCAGGAGCTTTGTTACTCTCTGGTGATTGGGTTAATCAAGACACTGCTCTCAAGGAGCTTACAATCTAGTGGGGAAAGTAGACAATTATAATAAATAATTACTATACTGTATTATAAACATGAGTGGTAATTAGGGAACTCTGGAGGCACAGAAAGTAGTTATCTAAATCTCACTGTCAGGATTAGGAAACGTTTCCCAAAGAAGACAATAGGGTTTGAGTCTGAGTTAAGTTTGAGGTCATTACAGGACAGTCAGTTTAAAGTGTTGGAGATATGGGTATGGTGCTCTTCAGAGAGGTACAGGCTCTATATACAGACATAGAAACCAACAGGAAGTGGTAGTTATAGTCATGAATTTAGATGGGATCACTAACACAGGTTAACTAAAAAAGAAGAAGAGAAGAGCATTGGCTTTTTAGGGAAAGGGAAAATCCCTCGCAGAGACATGAAAGAGTACGGTGTATGAGAGTTGACCACGTAAGTCTTAGGCAGGGGCACTGGTCCAGTTGGGGAAGATACTTCTAGAGGCTTCAGAAGCCAGTTCATCAGGAACCTTGTGTGTGGAGCTAAGAAATGTCCACCTTATCCAGAACACTATGGAGTCCTTAAAGTGCTCTCAATATTGACATGACCTGACTAGACTCAGGAAACGATTGGAAAATGTACAGTACAGTCAGTGTGGAGCATGAATTGAGCAAGAAAGATAAGAAGCAGGAAGACTGAAAAGGAGTCACCCAAGAAGGTGGGAAGGAGTAACTAAAGCAACATCCCACATGGGAATGAAAATTTAAGACATATTCCTAAGATGGTAATTGATAAGTTCTGGTGACTACTGAATTTGAGAACCTAAGTAGAAAGAGACGGTCTAAGGTGGCCCCCAGGATTTTATCTTGAATGGTAAAGGTGGCAATGGTATCATCTGGTGAGGAGTTCGCCACTCTCAGTGATCATTCATTGTATTATTCACATGATTCTGAGTTCAGGTTTTATCATCTCAAGTTAAATTTGAGTGCATGATGGGACAGCCAGGTTAAAATGGTGGATGTATGGGTGTGACACTCTTTAGAGAGGTCTGAGCTGGGTGTGACACTCTTCAGAGAGGTCTAAAGACTCATGAGTTAACAGTGAGTAGATGGTAACTACAACCATGGATTTCTACTCAGGCAGAATGGATAATCAGAGGAAAGACCAAAAGCTTAAAGGCAATGTCAAATGTAAGCTGTAAAATAAAAAGGTAACTGTCCAAGGACTTAACTAAAATATTTTTATTAATTTAAAGTTTATTTCTTATTTGTTAATACATATGAAAATTCTAAGTTTTTGGAAGCAAATGTATCAGATACTTTGTCAATCTGGTACTAGTGCTTCACTTATATATAAAAAAAATAACAGATAATCACATCAGTTTACCATTTTTCTCACATCTGAAAACAATGCAGGTTAAAAAAAGGAAAAGCAAAGAGGCCAAGAACATTTGATGATCTGACTCGAGCTCAGCACCAATAATAAATCTTAGAATATCAAGGAACTCAAGTCTTTCATTTCTCCTAAATTTTAAAACATGTTTCCTCTATTTACAGTCTTGTGGGAAAATGTTGTTATAACAGTAAAAGTGGAAGATTTCACTCCGGATTGCTGCACATGGACTGCTTATATATATGCACCCACATTGCTTCATCAGCTCTACTCAAAAAAACAAAAGTGCAAATAAATGAAAACACCACTAGGCAAGAATTTCACCATCCTGATGAGTATCAGGGTAGTCTGTAGTTGATTTCTGGGTTTTGTAATTTTAAATATTCCTCTTAATCAAGATGTTTAATGAATAAGCAACTTACATAGGCTGAGCAAACTGGATCATTCTCTAAGATACATACAATTTGCATATTCTTTCACAGCCCATTATTATAGCTCAAATTCTTAATTAAGATATCTGAAGCAATTTGATACAATAGATCCAATCATAGTCAGGGACAACCCTAGTCTTCTGAAGTTCTTAATTCAGTGATAATCAAATCGGAATTCTTAATGAAATGCTCAAATGAAAAATATACAACTCTAACTTTCCAAGGTACATCCGCTTTATAACAAGCGAGACTTTTGGCAGCATCCCATTGCAACTGTTAATAAGTCTTTATCTAGTCTCATAATTATTTTTAAAAGCCCATAATGTAAAAATTCAAAGATGAAATTTCAGTTAATTATTCAACATATCTAAAATATTGAGATATGGGCTTAACAGGTATATGTTGGGCCTTCCACTTGAAAATATCATATTCATCAAAAGAGAACTCATTGTTATGCTCTTTATTTACTAAATAAATTATTATTTAAAAATAATAAACACCATAAGTATATACAGTCTATACATAAGGCTATTTAATAATATAGTTCTGAAAAGACACAGAACATCCTCTAAGACATTCTCTCTTATTATATATGGTAGTCATAAGATTTGCTGTTGCTATGTTCAGAATAATTTCATTATGACATTTGATGTAAGGTGGGGGGTGAGTGTACAGGGGAGAACAAGAGCCTTATCTGCTTCCTCATATAGAGAAACCCAAGATGGCTTGATTCCATACATAGAATCACTGTGACTATAAGACATAGACAACAGTTTGTGTTAATATGCCAACATTAATCAAAGAAAAGGTAATATAAAGAATACCTAAAACATAAATGTCCTTTCATTTGGGAAGACTAAGGCCTGACAACGTCCAGTTCCCTAAAATGCTCATCTCCAACTTGTTGCACAAAAACTGTAACAGTGTAGATGGTTGTAGATTGTGGTTATTCCTGAACCTGCCTCCATTGTTCCCAGTTCATACCCAGCTGGGCAGATGGCCAAAAGGAGACACACAAACATAATTCAAGGCCATTGGGTCATACACCCAGAAATTGGACCCTGACATCAGACTGTCCTGCAGCACTAAAATAAGCAGGACTATTAAGGGGGAAAATCAGCAGATAGCTCTTAAAATGGAGCTGGATTTAATGCTAGACGTTATGTGGATCATGATACTGTCTCCAGAATTTTACTCTCACAAATTCACACCAACAACTATTAAAAAATACCACTTCTAGTGTCCTTTCTTTACAAAATACACTTCCCAAAATGTAACTTATCTCTTGCAGGACATCTGTAAAACTATAATAATATATATTTAAATAATAATGATGGTGGAATAAAATAAACTGTTATCTATGATCAATATTACATTTGAGAAATATTAATTGAAGATTACCTGTAATAGAAAATTAATTTTTATTCCAAATCACTGCATATGTTGCATTATTACCTAAAACACATTATATTTTGAGAAAGTTATTGGCTTATATCCTGTACAATTGCTCTATGTTACTTTCACTCACCAGTAAAGTTAATCTTTCCTGTTAAAAAAAAAAAAAAAAAAAAAAAAGACTCGGCGGGGCACAGTGGCTCACACCTGCAATCCCAACACTTTGGGAGGCCAAGGCAGACAGATCACCTGGGGTCAGAAGTTGGAGACCAGCCTGGTCAACATGGCATAACCCCATCTCTATTAAAAAATACAAAAATGTGCCAGGTGTGGTGGTGGATGCCTGTAATCCCAGCTACTTGGGAGGCTGAGGCAGGAGAATAACTTAAACCTGGGAGGTGGAGGTTGCAGTGAACCGACACTGTGCCACTGCACTCCAGCCTGGGTGATAGAGAGAGATTTTGTCTAAAAAAAAGACTCCACGTGACAAAGCTTTGTCTTCTGTGGGCGTTGTGTTGGATTTAGATTTTGTTTTTTCAAGTAACTTCAAAGTAAATGACCTGCTTTTTACAAAAATCCTAATTTCCTAATATTACTTATTTACAATTATTAAAATAGAAAATTGATCTTTCATACGAATCTCCTTTGCCATGCATACACATAAACGGACTTTAAGATCACAGTTTACTTATCTGACTTTTAAATAAAATATTATTAAATATTGGCCAGGCACGGTGGCTCACGCCTGTAATCCTAGCACTTTGGGAAGCCGAGGTGGGTGGATCACCTGAGGTCAGGAGTTCAAGACCAGCCTGGCCAACATGGTGAAACCCCATCTTTAAAATATTTTAGGAATTTTTAAAAAAACCTTTTGAACTGGTATTTGCTCAAAACACAGTATATCAGTATCCAATTAAAGTTGCATATTTAGCATAAGAAAGAAAGAGTGACTTTTTCCTACTTTTGAAAACAATGTATAAAAATTATATAAACCCATGTCATGATTAAAAAAAAAAAAAACTATAAAACTACCTTGAACACTGGGAATCAATTCTCACATTCTAAATCTCTCTTCACCCTATCATTTTCTATCTATGAAACAGATGGGATATGTATTCCGATATGAAAAGTTTTGTTGATGTGTGTCTTCATAAACCTTCTTAAAACATGCAATAACATTTCTCCATATAAGAATATAAGACATGAAGAACATACGATGGGCATAGATACTGCTTCTTTTTCCCCTTCCCTTTCTTTGAAGACTTTTCCTTAGAATAGGTTTCTTCCACCCACAAGGAAATTAAAATTAAAAAGGCAGTTGCCAATGAAAGCTTCATCTTGAAAACTTAAATTTCAGAAGATCGATCTAAAAGAGAGAACAAGAAAACGTTTACATTTATGAAGCAAATGCTAACTCTATGACTGTCCCTTTAAGTAAGGAGTATAATCATTACTACCCAAAGGGCAAGTACATTTGTACATCAAATTCTCATTGCTCAGTCCTACGTGGTAATATTTCACAATATATTTAGTATTTTTATATAGAAGTTGTAAACTTGTTTTTATATAGCAGTAAAAGTCAGTTTAAATAATGTCACATAGAAAACAAGATCCCAACGAGATATTATAGGTTACTGTGTAAAATTTCTGATTCTGTAGCTACACAAAATTGTAAATTGATATCGAATTGCACAGTATATCAAAATATGTTTAGAAAGCCTATGGAAGCATGCCTTAACACAGCGTTAAAATGATTATCTTGGGCTAGTACACTGGCAGTATTTTTAAAAAATTTTTATATTGTTTGAAATTAGTGTGTGTATTTTTTCAAAAACAATCTATTTTAAAGCACCAGACAATTCTAAGTGTTAAAAAGCTGAAAAATGAAAGAAAAAATTAGTATCAAAGAGTTTCACATTCTAAATTCATTGTGTATTAATTTAAATACATTAAATTGGCAAGCTACCTTTTTGTCCCAAAAACGTGCCTCTTAAGTTAGCTTTAAAGCTTCCATACTTATTGGCTACTAACATTTACCATCAAAACGATAACTTCAGAAATTCTAGGTAACATTACATGAAATAAAACAACAGGTGTTGTACTTTCTTTCAAATTATCATCCGAGCCATATTTTAATAACATTTTTCATGCTCAAATCAGAATTATATTCTTGCCAGAGAGTCTGATAAATAAAAAATAATTAAGCATCTACTGACACTGGAGAAGTTCAACCTCTTCTGCCTCCTTCATTTCTAAACATAAATTACTCTTTCATTGTTTTCTGCAGAGTAAAAGACCTGTCATATTCTTCAAGGCTAACTTAATTCTCATCTCTTCCTCACAAATTTGCTTCTCCCTCTGACTTGCTTTTCATCTTTTTCCCTCCAGGATTCTTCCCCTCATATTTCTCTTTTACACACATTCGAGGCAAGCCAAAGGGGCTTCTCCCTGGGTACTTTAAATTGAAGACAACAGAGGGGGCTCATCAGACCAACAGCAACAACACAAGGTTCTTCTCCTCTGGCAACTTTACAGCACTGGAGGCTCCCTTCCCCCATCCGACAGCAGCACCTGCTTCCAGACACCTTTGCCCCCAGCAGCAGGTACTTCTCCCACTTTCGCATCCTTGCCCCCACCCCCCTAAAAGGAGGGCCGGTTCGAAGGAGGAGACAGAGAAATTCAACACTCTGCTCCGTCCTCACCCCCAATTTTTCAAGGGGGACAGCTGCATTGACTGGAGGATCCTCATAAACAAAACAACGCCAGGAGCCCTCTTGGCCAACCTTGCGTTCCCTAATTACCCCGGCCCTCTGCATCCGTCCACCCAAGCGTCTCCGCGGGCGCCACCGCAGCGGGGACCCGGCTGCCGCGGCCAGACGCCCCGCGCCCCTCTCCCGCGCAGGGCAGCGCGCCTCCTCCCCTGCACGCCGCAATGCTCCTCGCGCCCCGCCGCCCCGGGCATGACCCGCTCTTTCCGCAGAGGCGTCTATTCCGGTCCCCAGACCACCGCCGCCGCCCCACCCCGCGTCCCCCGCTCCTACGTGGAGCTCCTGGCACTTACCCGGAGGCGCCCCTGCCCGCAACCGCCGGGCGAGATCTTGGCGGCTCCGGGCCGAGGTGGCGGTGGCTGCTGGGGATGCAGCGGACGCCGAGAGGGGGCAGCTGCGTCCCGGCCGCCCGCGCCACCGCCGAGCTCGGCTGACGCGCCTGATCTGGCCGCGGAGCCTGCGCCGTGGCGCGCCGCGGTTGGGGCCGCTGCGGGGACAGCGCGGGTCGCGCGGGAACCTGACGACTGCGGGTGGGGGAGGGAAGAGGTGTCCCGACAGAGCAACGTCACGGCACCGTCCCTTCGGGCATTGGAGGGGTTACCGAGCAGAAATGTGTCCCTCCTCACTCCTCGAGGGACTGAAGGAGTTGGGGGGAAGGGCGGGAATGACGGTATCCGTACAGATAGAAAAAACCTTTCAAGGAGCGGGGATTGCTTGGGGTCAGCTTTGGACCCTGAGCGACAAACAACAACAGAACAGCACATGACCTTCTTGGATCAAAGCGAACAAAACACATTTTCTGTAATTTCATCATGTGACTGGAATCCAGATATCCAACTTAATCCCCTAGTCTTCCAATTTCCAAAAGCCCGACCTTTCTGAACAAGCTTATATTGGTCAAAATTACTGACAATATAGTCATGCAGGTAATACTATTTTTAACATCTGTTACATAATTAACATGTGTACAGAACTCGACAGTTTCAAAACACCTTTCACTCGCCTTTTCTCATGTGGCCCTCAACACACTCCTGGGCAAGTTTTGTCGTCCTTCCCCTTCTGTAGATGAAGAATCTGAAACTCAGTTAATTAAGAGATTTACTTAGCATAACAGACCTTGAAAGAAATTTACCAGAGACTCAAAGTCAGTGATTTTTACGTATCAGAGCCAGATATGGTCTCTGCCTTAATGAGCGCAAAATGCCGTTGTCCTCGTCGTTGTGAAGAAGTAGCCCTCACTTGGATAACAGGTACGGTTATCTTATTATCTCTTGAATGTGTGCCTGATTGATTTTTTTAATTTACATTTTTTAAGCAACAGGATCTCACTTTGTTGCCCAAGCTGGAGTGCAGTGGCACAATCCACAGCCTTAAACTTCTGGGAGATCAAGAGATCTTCTTGTCTCAGTCTCCCTAATAGAGTAGCTGGGACAATAGGCATAGGCCATTGCACTCCGCTGTTTCTCTTTCTTTCTTTCTTTCCTTCTTTCTTTTCTTTTCTTTCTGTCTTTCTTTCCTTCCTTCCTTCCTTCCTTCCCACCTTCCTTCCTTCCTTTCTTTCTCTCTCTTTCCTTCTTTCCTTTCTTTCTCTTTTTCTTTCTTTCTTTCTCTTTCTTCCTTCCTTCCTTTTTTTTTTGAGACAGGATCTCTAGCTTTGCTGTCAAGCCATCCACCTGCTTCAGCCTCCCAAACTGATGAGATTACAGGCTTGAGCCACCCCACCCCACATCGCCAGACCCTGATTGATTTTTTATTAAAAAAGCATTGTCCTCTCAAGTGAGCATCACTTAGCATTGTATTGTGGACCTACAGATGTATCCACTAATAAATTTTTCCACCCATAGTATATGGAGGAAAGGAACATTTCCTGTATATAATCATCTTCTATAAGCTTCATGAGATATTCTGCTGCCTAAGAATAGTGATCATTAATAAGTGATCATTACCTTATTTACATTACAAAATGATCATTATTTAAAGAGCTAAAATAATTGGACCCCCCAAAGTGGATCAGGATATAACTTTGGATTTTAACACTTTATTAAAAAGAACTATATTGATAATACGCGTCTCATAAGATACAACTTTTGGTGAATAAGTAATATGAGGAATAATAAAGGAATTAGTTTTCATGCAACCAGGGGAGTTTAGAGGTTGAAGAAATCCTTACACTTAGTTTTCAAGTAATCAAGAAATGATTAAGGTTTAGAATAATAGGATATTCCGATTCCTGTAATAAAGTAAACATCTTTTATTTACAAACTCTAATGTACACATTTGGCAGAACTATGCTGAAAATACCTATCATTGACTCACTCACCTTCCCTAGTACTGTCTCTATGCCACTCATGGATGTTATATTGGAGAATTAGGTCATTCATAATAAAATCATGTCCAGCAGTTTGGATGGGTTTATGGGTTTTTTGCCCAAAGGTTATGAAATACAGTTGATGCCCTAAAAGCACTTTTTCTAGGCCTGTAAAATGGTCAAGTTCAGAATTTTGAATATTTTTTCTTTGAGGATGGTCTGCTTACCTATATTTACATAACTTTTATATTATAGTGTGAAAATGGATGCGTCTAAATAATGTCATGAAATAACCTATTTTCCCCAATTGTGTCAAGTGTTGATCTGCTTTTATGTATTTTTTTCTGTCAACATTCACTCCTTTAGTAATTTCATCAAGTCACATGGTTTTAAATACTGTGTCGATAGCTCCCAAATTTACTTCTCCTGACAAGATGTTTCTCCAGAACTCCAGACTAATATATCTGCCTTCTCGACATCTCAACTTGCATATTTAATAAGCATGTCAAACACAATGTGTCCCAAACTAAACTATTGTTCTCCCTAAAATCTGCCCCATATTCAGCCTTCTCCTTCTCAGTTGATGGCAACCTCATCCTTAGGATTGCTCAGGCCAAAAATCATGAAGTTGTTCTTGATTCCTCTCTTTTTTTCACACCTCACAACCAAATCTCTGAGGAAATCCTGTTTACTCTCTAACTATAACAGGAATTCAGCTACTTCTTATAATTTTGACTGCAGCCAACCTAGACTGAGTGACCTTTATCTCCACTTTAGATTCCTGTGATAGCATTTTAGCTACTCTCCCTGCTTCTACCATTGTCCTCTCCCATCCCTGAGTAATCTCAAAACTGCAGCCAGAGTGATCCCTTTAAAACATGTCATATGTCATATTGTGTCATTCTTCAGCTCAACACCCAGCAATTCGTCCTCATTTCACTCTGATTATAAACCAATACAATGGTCTACAAGCCTTCAGTTGTTATAAATCTCCTCCCACTAACTCAGACTTCTCTCCCAATTGCTCCTTCTCTTTCAGCCCCACTGATCGTGCTGATTTTCAGCATGCTAATGCCAGCTATGGTCCCATCTTAGGTTATTGGCTCCTCTGTCTAAAATGCTTCCCCCTAGACCAAAATACCACACTTACCTCCGTCTTATCTTCAACATCAACCCAGATGTCACCGTCTCACAGAGATTTATCCAGCGTTATTTAAAAGTGCAAACTCTCTCCCATCCAAGGATTGCCAATCCCCCTTGCCCGCTTTTCTTTTTGTTTTCATAGTACTTATTACTGCCCAGCTTATCGTACAATATGCTTACAGTTTATGGCCTCTGTTTCCTTGCTGAAATGTAAGCTTGATGAAGGCAGAGATTTGTATCTGTTTTTGTCCATTTATGTTGCCCACACATCTAGAAGAGTGTTGAATGAATGAGTAAACCTTGGCCTCATTTCTTAACCTCTTCAAATTTCATGTTTCCTTATTAGCAAAATGAAAATGACAATGCCTAATTTGCAGAATTGTTCTAAGAAATAAGCAGGTTAATTGACATTAAAAAGCTGCTCGAGAAGAAAAGTCACAAAACTCCCCTATTTTTGCTTGTTTTTATTTGCTTAATGGAATGATAGAATTTTGTTGTTGCTGTTGTTTTTTTTTTTTAATTTATTTATTTCTAATTTTTGTAGCTACATGGATTTTCGCTTACTGGGACCCTGTTATCCATTTCTTTCTTGTACACCTACACTGAAAAAACTTTGTAGGTCTACATGTAAATACTAAGAACCTTATTTTCTTTTTTGGTTGATTTTCTTTTTCTCTTTTCTTTCTTTCTTTCTTCCTTTTCTCTCTCTCTCTCTCTCTCTCTCTCTCTCTCTCTCTATCTCTCTCTATCTCTCTCTCCCCCCTCCTTTCTTTCTTTCCTTTTTTCTTTTCTTCTCTGGCTCTATTGCCCAGGCTGCAGCGCAGTGGTGCAATCTAGACTCACTGCAACCTCCTCCTCTCATGCTTAAGCAAAGTTTTCACCTCAGCCTCCCACGTAGCAAAGAACCCTATTTTCTATGCATCCATCTTCACCTGGCCTGTGATATATTTATTTGATTTGATTTGATCATAAAACCTAAATACAGCCCTAAATATCTGTGTTACACTAAGAAATCAGGCTTTGGATACAGAGAGAGTGTTCTCATCAAATCATTTTTGTGTGTGTGACGTAAGTACTCATCACTGTTGCCACTGCCTAAACAGCCTTACAACATGGTTTAAAGATATAAATTATTTTTGCTGTTTTCTCTCTACATGAGTCATATTTCCTCTCTAATGATAGCCTGCACTGTAATAGTCATTCATGAGATTTTTCATCAAACCTTCAGTCCATTTACCACTGTAACGATCAGATATTTTCAAGAAAAGTATGTCCAGCTGTTTTAAATGTGCTTCTCCCCCAAATCACCATCTTTAAACATGTATCAAAATAGATAATGGGAGAATAAATATAAATAAAGAGAAGATTACAGCAGGAGATGATGAGAATAGTGGGGCAGTTATTCAGCATCTTGCAAATACTATTCATAAAAATTAAAAGACAGTCAAACTTATATTAGGAAATGTCGATGTGTATCTAGTCTTATTAGAATAATAAAAACATTATTTCATATTTAATAACCCAAAATCACTTCCATATGTTTTCCTCAAATAGCATATTATCCTTAAAATGTTCCCTAATTCCTTAATTATTTTTAAACTAACTTTTAAAGAATAAAAGCCATCTTTTATTGATTACCTATTGATTGCAAAAAAAAAGTTTTCTACATTATGCTTTTAAAACTTCAAAATTTACTTACAAGTTATTTTCATATCCATATTTTTGATGAGAAACCAGAGGAGAGGCTCAGAAGGGGAAATTAACTTATCCAGAGTATTAGAGTTGGATGAGGAGGAGACAGGATTATTTCATCTTTCATGTCCTTTACAACATTCTGACTCTGGGTCCAATTGCACATAGGCAAGTGAAAGAAGCTTAGCTTTTAGACATAGATGTCTTTGTACAGAATACTGACTAAAAATTAAAAAATTGAAGTCAAAGGGGTTGTGCTTACCTCCAACTCCAACTTGCCTTAAAGATTAG